CGTGTCCTGCTCTTTGTGTTCCCACTGCAGGACACAGTGCCCAGGACACAGTAAGTGTTTCATAAATATTTAATGAATAATATCTCCTAACACCTACCTCAACTTATTATGTTCCGAGAACATGATAGATACAACTACCTTTACCTCAAATCAGCATTTTAGACGATTTAGAGTAACTGAACTCATGTCACATTCAACTTCACTTACCTTTTTGTTGAGCCCGTATTTATCGCCAGTATTGAAATGTCTCTCCCTAGGACCACCGGTATTCACTTTATTTACTTTTATTTGTTATCATCTATTTTTTTTATTTAATACAATGCTAGCATTTGGGGGAGAGAGGAGATTGTATAACAAAGATCCAATAAGCCATGACCCCTTGACCTTTCTATCTAGGAGGGAATGGAGTTCGTAAATAAATATTATAAGAAAATAACAGCATGTGATATTGGTTCCCATCTCTAAAAATCAATCCTGGAGAAACCATAGAGGGAAAATACTGGGGAATCCCTAGTGAGACTGACAGGAGTTTGGAACTCGCGGGCTGGGTCGCTTGCGGAGAGAAGATTCGTTAGAGGCAGTGTGCTCTTGCCTCTCCCCAGTGTTGGCCTTGAACAACCATTGCCTGCCCCATGCTGCAGAAATAGTGCAAGATCCTGAGTGCTTGTGCAGCTGTTGAGGGTTGGGGAGGAAATCAAGGCTGAAATCCTTGCTGGAGTGAGGAGGAGATGGGACAGCAGTCACAACTGACTGCCCAAGCATTCACCCTTCCAGCCCCCATCACCCACCCCAGATCTGGCTGACTAAGATCAAGGACTGCCCCGCCCCAGTGCTCCTCATCCTGAAGCCCTGACCTGAAGTGTCACTTGGTGAGGTGACACCAAAATGGCAGTAACTGTGGTTTTGTGCTGTCCTGGGACTCTGGCCCTTCCCTCTCTTTACAGTCAAGATACTGACACAAATGGCAGTCACAGGCCCAAATAACCACTCCCTCCTTTAGGGAGTATGCCACCTCAAAAGAAAAATGACAAACAAGCTCACATGTGTCCTTAAAAGAGGAAGTTTTAGAAAAGATAGACCAGCCACTTAAAATGAGCATGAAAAAGGCATTTAAAAAAAACAAGAGAAGCTACTATAATATGAAAAAAACATAGGAAATCTAGGGAAAACTATATAGAAATTCTTTTTTTTTTTTAAAGATTTTATTTATTTATTTTTTCCCCCAAAGCCCCAGCAGATAGTTGTATGTCATAGCTGCACATCCTTCTAGTTGCTGTATGTGGGACGCGGCCTCAGCATGGCCGGAGAAGTGGTGCGTCGGTGCACGCCCGGGATCCGAACCCGGGCCACCAGCAGCGGAGCGCGTGCACTTAACCGCTAAGCCACTGGGCCGGCCCTATATAGAAATTCTAAGTGTGAAAAAAATATAATAGTCAAAATAAAAACCACGTTAATGGGATAAATAGTGGGGGAGATACAAGTGAAGAACAAATTAGTAAGTTGGAGGACTACACTGAAGGCTCTCCTAGAATAAAAGATGGAAAGATAAAGAAATTGAAAACAGAGAAGAAAATTCAAAAGAGATGGAGAAGTGCTAAAATACAGATAATATGAATTTCATAAAGACAAAAAATAAAAATTGAGAGGAAAAAAGACTTACAGAAATAAAAGAGATGACTTTCCAGAATTAAAAGATAGAGAGGACCCATGATGTCCTACAGCAAGAGAAGGAAAAATACATTTTAGATACAATATAACAAGATTTAAAAATATCAAAGGCAATGAGAAAGTTCTTAAAGATTCCAGAGAGAAACACTGACATCAGATTTCCCAACTGCAACACTGGATGCAAAAAGACCTTGGGAGGATATTATTTGAAATATTAAAGAGAAAAAACTTCAAGTTTAGAATTTAAAACACAGGTAAACTTGATTCAAAAGTGATGGTATAATAAAAATATTCTTAAGCATACAAAGCTTCAGAAGGCTTGCCACACAAATACTGACATTTAAAACTTGTTGGAGAAAGTATCCCAATAAGAGAAAAAAATCTCAGGAGGTACCAAAAAGAGATTGGAAATAAGGTTGATCAAACACCTTGGTAAAGGAGAGAGAAAGTATATGAATGGATATGAAAGCTTGCTAAAGTTCTTATCCGGCTAGAGGGAAGATGGGGAAGGTATAGACAACACTTTAAAAAAATGAAGACTAAAAAAGGCAACTTACAAAACAGAAATATTGAAATAAATAAGATATTAGAAATGAGTCCAAATACATCAATAATCACCATAAATACAGCTGGGATGGGGCAAAGCCATGTGCTCACCAAACCATTACATTTTCCTGAACACACAACTAAACTACATTTTCCCAACCCCCTTTCTCCTAGGCAGGGTCATTGTTTAATTCTCGCCAATGGAATATGAGCAGAGATGGCATGTAGTTTCTGGTCCAAAGCCATAAGGACAGGTTTGCCTTCCCTAGGCTCTTTCTTCTGTCTGCAAAGTTGGAAGCAAAGTTCTTTTCAATAGTGGAGATGCAAGATGAAGCTAGTCTGGGTTCATCAGGCACTTTTTGGACAAGAGCTGCAGGGAGCGTCCAACCTGCCTTGAACTGTTCATGAGTAAAAAATAAACCTGTGTTTGTTAAACCACGGAGGTCTCAGTGCTTGTCTGTTGCAGAAGCAAGTTTGCTCACTTTGACTAACACATGAACTGAACCACCAATTAGAAGACAGAGATTGTCAGATTGGATCTAAACCAAAATCTATCTTTGTAATATTTACAAGAGCTACATCCAAAGCATCAGTGCAGGGAAGGAGTAAAAACAAAAGGATAGAGAAAAATACATCAAACAAATACTAACAAAACGAAAGCTGTGTACCTATGTTAATACCAGACAGAACAGACTTTAAGACAGCAAGACTCAGTTCAAATTGGGAAAAGGCTCAATTCACGGAGACTATAATAATTCCAAAAAGTGAGCACTTAATAGCCTAAACATATAGAGGGCAAAGTTGATGTAAAAAATAGAAATAAACTGAAAAACCTACAGTCATACTTGGAGATTTAAATATACCACTCTTAGTTATTTTTAGGTCAACCCCAAAATAAGGAAAGATATGATAGATTAGAATGACAAAATCAGCATGCCTGATTCAAGAAACATTCATAAAATTCTGCATCCAGCAATTAGAGCCCATGTGGAACATTTACATATATGGAGCACATTCCAAACCATAAAGCAGGTCTCAATAAATTTCTAAGATGCATCATAATGACAAGATTCTTGGATTATGATGCAATTAAATTAGAAGTTAATAACAAAAAAACCCCATACATTAAAAAAAAAATCCGCATATATTTTGAGACAAAAAACACCCAATTGTTACTAAACAAAGAAGCAACATTCTTTATAATGAACTTTCCATGATTCATCAATTCATTATCCCGTTGTCCCATGCTTCCAGCTCCCACCCCAAAGGAGAAAGTGGGAGCTGGTTAGGGCGGGAGCGAAGCAGTGACCACTCATTCATGCACAAATATCTATCGAGCACCCAGTATGTGCTAGGATGGGGGATGGAAAGAAAAAGAACTAAGATTAGGGTTCCCCATAAACTGTGACACCCAAATCCATTAGCAATTGTAATTTAGTTAATTTGCCGTCAGAAGCCGTGATCTGCTCCAATCAGTGTAGGAATCCGTATTCACCGAGGAAAGAGCATCGGAGCAGTTTTTGCCAGAAGGCAGTCCACAGGCTGCCTGGCCAGGCATCACCTAGGGAGCATGCTAAACACACAGGAAAGGCTAATCTAACTCAGGTCAGGATGGAACCCAGGAATTTGTATTTTTAACAAATTCCCCAGATGATTCTCCCGTGCAGCCACATTTGGAACCACAGACAATTTCTTTTTGTGTGTGTGTGAGGAAGACCAGCCCTGAGCTAACATCCGATACCAATCCTCCTCTTTTTGCTAAGGAAGACCGGCCCTGGGCTAACATCCGTGCCCATCTTCCTCTACTTTACAAGGGACCCCGCCATAGCATGGCTTGACAAGCGGTGCGCGGCGGTGCAGCCCACGATCCCAAACGGCGAACCCCGTGCCACCGCAGCCCAGCGCGCGCACTTAACCGCTTGCGCCCCTGGGCCGGCCCCCCAGATAATTTCTTAGATCCCTTCCAAGTGGAAAATTTCATGATCTTTCACAAACGGCCTTTAGGTATTTGGGTAGACTTCTCTTTCCCTGGATAGACAGTTAGCTTTATGTCTATATTTTATAGTGGACTAAACTCCGCCAGTGCCTCCCATTGGCTGAGTCCAACTGGAAGCCAAAGGTAAGGATGATGCTGTCTACAAGGGGTAGCCTCAAGGCGGCCTGGAGAAGGGTGTCCAGGGGCCCCAGAGGGACAACTAGAGGTTACCCAGCACCCTCTGGCCCCCTCAGAACAGTCCATTGCAGCTCCCTACAGCTCTTCTTTGGACTAAACATCTCCAACAATCACACATTTTTTTCTCACACAAAGAAATAAAGTAATATTTTCTAAAGTGATTTAAAGGTTTAAAGGATTTTTATTCTGCATATCGAGTTTCCCTTTTCAAGTTTCCTAGTAAAATTTATTTTATTTTTTAACTCTAAATTTGTCCACAGAAACTTACAGGTAGAGTAGGATTCTCTACGCCACGGATCAGACAGAGGATTTGTTCGAGTTCAGCTGTGCGGTGCTCCGCTGGCCTTTTCTCTCTCTTCAGAGGGTCCCTTCTTGGCGGATGTAGTCACAGTTGATCTAAGCCCCTCGCATCCCCCCAAACAGAAGCTTCCTTTTGACTCCCCTGTGGACCAAGTCTCCCCGGTGCTCACCGGCTCAAAGCATTCTCCCATCTTCTCACCCAGTCTCGTTACTCTGCTTCTTTACCCAGCAACAGCTACGTTATCTCAGGGAATTTCTCTGATTGGCTGAACACAGCAGGGGTCTCCTCCATCCTGGAATCTGTTTCCTTCCTCTTTACCTCCGCCTTGTTCCTTTACCGGCAACACCGACCGAGACTTATTTGGTTAACGCACCAGAGGGCAATGGTCCTCAGTAGGGGGCTGGTCCTGGGACTCCACACCTTGATGACCCTCCTGAACCCCCGGGAAGCTGGGGCCATCAAGGGTGAGTGCTGAGGGTGACTGGGTGAAGAGAGGAGATTTAGGGCATTGGCTTAGGCGCAAGACAGTATAGAGCATGAATTGTTCCTCTCCCCCTCTGCTTTATGGGCAACTTCCTTGACTAAGAGATCCCCAGTCCCTCTCACTCTGTCGTGTCCGTTCCGGACAAGATACAGGTGCAGCTCAGTCGAGCCATGTCAGCGTCAGTTTCAGGCTTTTCCAGGTTCAGCTACCTCCCCAATTCCTTTCTCCTTTCTGAGACCCAAACCTCCATGCTTCTGCTGCCCAACACCCTGATTTCTCTACCACATCCTGGCTTGGAGCATGTCCATTCAAGTCCGGTTCTATTGCAGTATTTATTACCATGTCCATAGTTAACTGTTTATCTGTCTTTACCCTGCTCTGGACATGAGCTCCTTGTGTAAGTTCTTTATTTCCTTGGGTCCTGGCATCATGCTGGGCACATGGTAGTCTCTTAACGACTGTTGAACAAATAATTTCATAGAATTCTAAGGGAATCTTACCAATTAAAACCTAATCCTTAATTTCCACAAAACTGAGCCTTGGTTATGGGAAGAGACACGTTCAATCATAATGCTCTGAGATGGAGGAGTGGGGACATTAACTTCTGGCTCCTTTTCTGGTGCTCTCTGCAATGCCCTGGGCTGCCTTTTTCTATCCTTTTGGTCTCTGTGTCATAAATCTTAATTCTTACTCCTGCCAGCCATCCCTCTTTCCCCTCACACCCCCCTACACTGCATCTCTGTGCCCAAAGCCCCACTTATGCTCCTACCCTTAATCCTTTCCTCCTCATCCCACCCCCACACACCCTCCTCTCACTCACAGGACCTGAGAGCGCAGCTAGAGCAGATGATCATAGCCAGGATTTAATGTCGGGAATCCCCAGTGTGATTTTCGCCAGCCTCTCCTCTTCCCAACCTGGAATACAGCCTGTACCAGTGTCTCTGTGCGGCAATTGTGCTGGGCAGGTGCCTGTTTTCCTCCATCCTTTCCCTTCCATCCCCCAGCATACCCTTCCACTCGCCAAGGACCGGCTCAGGTCAGAAAGGACTCTGCCCCCACACAAAACCCAGGGTGGAGCACAGGCTCAGAGACTCAACACAGCCCAAGTCATGGATGAGACTGATACATTTTCTTCTCTCTCCCTGACCCTGAATTCACCCAATACAGCTGACCACATGGGCTCCTATGGACCAGCCTTCTACCAGTCCTACGGTGCCTCGGGTCAGTTCACCCATGAATTTGACGGGGAACAGCTGTTCTCTGTGGAGCTGAAGAAGAGTGAGGCTGTGTGGCGTCTGCCCGAGTTTGGCGACTTCACGCACTTTGACCCGCAGAGTGGGCTGGCCAGCATCGCGATAATCAGAGCCCATCTGGACGTCTTGGTGGAACGCTCCAACCGCACCAGAGCTATCAATGGTACCTGGCACTTCCTCTGCCCCAGTCCTCCCCGGTCAGGCGAGGAGGCCCAGAGAAGCCTCTTCCCCACCTTGCAGGCCTCTCTGCGCACTCAGAATCTGTAACTGTTGTGCACAGTCCCTTTCTTTCCTAGGAGGTTCTAGATCTTCTCAGACCCCTTCAGCACCCTCTTTCTTCTTGAGCAATGACCCTTCCCACCTGAACTCCCCCCTCAGGGGCCTGTCAGGTGCCCCTACTGCCCTCCTTAGTCTCTTTCTCTCTCTCCCCCCATCCTGCCCCAGTGGTTACCCTCCCAGAGCGTCCCCTGCCCGCAGATGGCTAAATAGGAGGAAACCCCCTCACTCTCAGTCCTGATAAGGCCCAGCTGTAGGGATGAGCCTCTGGGATTCAGGGCCTCGTTCCTCCTAGTGCCTCCAAGAGTGACCGTACTCCCCAAGTCTCGAGTGGAGCTGGGGCAGCCCAACGTCCTCATCTGCATCGTGGACAACATCTTCCCCCCTGTGATCAATATCACCTGGCTGCGCAATGGTCAAACAGTCACCAAGGGGGTGGCCCAGACCAGCTTCTATTCCCAGCCTGACCACTTGTTCCGCAAGTTCCACTACCTGACCTTCGTGCCCTCAGCAGATGACTTCTATGACTGCAAGGTGGAGCACTGGGGCCTGGACGAGCCGCTCCTCAAGCACTGGGGTATGGAGCCCCCTCCCCAGCCCACCCTTCCCAGACCCGTGTTTCCTTTACCCTAGAACCTTTGCTCTACCCTTGACTCTTCCTTTCCCCCCAGAGCCTCAGGTGCCTATCCCACTGCCAGACATCACAGAGACCCTGATCTATATCCTAGGCCTGGCCCTCGGCCTGGTGGGCTTCCTCGTGGGCACCATCCTCATCATCACAGGCACATGCTTGTTCAGTGCCCCCAGGTGCAGAGGCCCCCGGGGTCTGGGGGAGGAAAATGGTTGACTCTGATCAGGATGGGGGTGGAGAATCAGAGATTCTGTGGGGAGGAATGGGATCAGGGAAGGTGATACTATAGACAAGTATTGGGCAGGGAATAAAAGAGCAGAAGTGAGGTGAGGGGTGAGGTTTGGGGGATGTGGGCAGTCAGAGATAGGATCCCAGAACTGTGAGCTTGAACAGTCTGGGTCATATGGTTTTTGCTCCTTTAGGTAAAGACCCTTCTGAGAGAAATGGATTGTGGGAGACACCCTGTGGATTCCTCGCAAGTTTCTGACAGCCTTCACATGCTCAGTGCCACAGTCTACTGAGTACATCTCCTCTGTGCTGACTTTGAACGGGATCAACCTCTGTCCCATGGGTTTCCGCCTTTTTGGCCCCAATACTCACGGCACAACTTGGGGGGGTGACCAACTATCTCCGCTTCCCACCCCCAACACACACACACACACACACACACACACACACACACTTTCTTGCTCTATCCAAAGCTCTGGCTAGCAGCAGTATGTTCTTTAAGGGTTTTGCACTGTATCCAATTCTCCCAGGGTGTGAGGGATGCTGGAATCTGGAAGAGGGGATTCTTGGTGATGACCACTGAGCATAACCACCCAGTACTTGGGATTGGCAGTCATCCTCTGGCTGGTCCAGCTATGGCTTGCTCCATTTGACTCATCGGTTTGGGGCCCACTGTGTGTTACTTGTGCATGGGCCGCTTCACAAGGACTTCGTGAAATTTGCCTCCTGAAATAAGATTCGCCCTGAGAGGGATGCAGAGTACCCTGTTAATTGCAACTCTCCTCAACCAATAGCAGTTCTGCAGGGCACCAGGAGAGGAGAGGTTCATGGAAATTCCACTCTTGTCTGGATTTACTCCGTAATGAAGAGGCCATTGGTATCCAGCTGTGATCCATGATGTCATCTCCTTTTTCTACAATGCTTAGAGTGCCGTGCATGACAAAGAGAGGTCCAAGGCTTAGATAAGACTTCCCTCAACTTACAGTCAATCATATTGGGTAGGAGGGTAGCAAAGTAGATCTGCAAGGTGTCTGGTCAGAGGGGAGGTCTGAGAGATCCACCTGAATGCTCTCTAAATATGTGGCCTGGAAGATTTTAGTTTACTGTGAACAAAATTTTAAAAAATACACAAAGAGATAAGTAACCATACAAAGTACTTTATGTCAAGTACCAAACGAGTAGTACAGATGAGTAGTTTTCAAACCGAAATGCACATAAGAATCACTTGGGTGTCTTGTAAACAGTACAGGCTTCACCTAGATCTACTGAATTAGAATCTTGGGGGTGGAGGAGTGGTGACAGGGAGTCTGTAATTTTTTAACACGCTCCAGATACGCTGATGCAGCTGTCCTGGACCCAGTCTGGTAACTGGGACCCACTAACATAGTCTGTGCGATTGGGGGCCAGTGGAAGAGGGGATCCCCGAGGTCTGAGGTGGTCTAGGAGGGCTTTCTGGAGAACCTGGGCCTTTTAGGGCATAAAAGTTGAGCAAGACACAAGTAAGTAGGGGCAAGATTGGGGTTTGAATTGTGAGCATTTGGTCCTGGAAAAGAAAGACTCCCAGAGATTATGGGGTCTCTGCAGACTTCCCAGGAGAGACTAAGTTGGGAGAAATTAACGGCCAGAAGACTCTGATGGAAGTGGGGAGGTTCGTCGAGTCAAACTTTTTGTTTGCCAGTAACAGAAATCCTCTTAAAATGATCACAGACAAAAGGAGAGGATAGTTACAATACAGACACAGGAGCTGTGCCCAGTATGCAAGGGCGGGTTTTAGCCAGGCCTCACAGGGAACAGAACTCAGAGCTGAAAAGTTAGCAGAACCTAGAGCAGCCTCTCTTGCTCACTCTCTGGGCTATGTGGTCTGTGATCTCTATGTCCCTCTGCATGTTTGCCATATTCTTCTCTCTGGGACTGACTGTCCTTTTCAACTCAAATGTCCACCCTACAGCTCCTGAGTTTGAATATCACCTCAGTTCTAGCCACCCACAGAGACTGTGTCTCCCAATCACAATTTTAAGTTCTTGGAAAAATAAATGGCCAAACTTGGGGCAGGTGTCCATCCCAGTCCAATGTACTGTGACCGGGGGACAAGGTCCCACAGTGCAAACATGGCTGCCAAGCACCCACCCCTGAGGTGAGGGGTCGGGTTGTCCCCGGAGAAAGAAGAATGCATTGGTTCTCAGAAGACACCACAAGATATGTCTTTTCCCATTGTGCCCTGATCTCTGCTGATCTTTTGCTTAAAAGTCTTCACTTGATGTATCCTTGGAAGGACGTTTCTCTGATCTCTGTCCTAAGGTTTAATAAAGTCATTAAAAGTATCTTTTTTGACTAGAAGTGTGCTTTTTTCACTATGCATATATTACCCAGAAGTCACTGGAACTTCTAGGAACAAGTCCAAATCTTTTAGATTTGTGCATCTGTCCTCATACTCACATTTTTTTCTTCTAGTCTGAAAGTAGTCTCTCACTGAAAAAAAAAAATTGTCCTCCTGCATTCTTGATCTGACTCCTTTCAGTCTCTTTTAGAATGGATGTTCAATACTTACCTCCTCTTCTGTATTTTCAAACTCTCCATCTTTGCAGGGTGCCCCCCTACACATAATAAACATGTCATCTCTCCTGCATAATGAGAACATCAAATTCCCTCTCTCTCCTCTTACCCAACCTCCCCCACCGCCACGACCTCTTCCCAGTCACTCTCTCTGAAAGTGTTCAGCATGGGCTGCCTCCAGATCCCCTCTTCCCAACCACTCTCTCTAATTTTTAACAAAGTTACATTATACACATAAAGAATCAAATACTTCTACAAGATTTGCTAAAAAAAATTCTAGTCTCTGGCCCCCTCTCTTACCATATCCTCACTCCCAAAGGCGATAACTTCCAACTGTTTTAACTGATTTTATGGGTACTGCCCTCCCTCCCACCTCTAAATAACATGTTTGTGTTGCTATATCTTGATCTTTCAGCTTTGGGCTTTATCTCTTTACTTCCCACTATGGAAGAGGAGGATTTAGATCTTTTTTTCATCCTCACACTACACACATGCCCTCTTCTCATATCCCCTTCCTTTAATACAGTTATACTGTCATCTTGGCCAGGTCGATGTTCAGTGTTTATATTATCATGTAAGGCTATTCACAGCCAAACCACAGAGGAAACCAAGCTTGCTCTTCCTTTCCTAGACAACTTTTTGTTTTCCCTGGAGTTAATAATTGCCCTGTTTTCCCTTTGCATGGTTTTTGTCTGTACTATCATTAACAAATCAAAAATTCATTAATACAAAATTCATTCTCACAATACAATTAGACACATCAGATATTCTGTCAATTTTATCATCAGATAAAACTCTCTTGGAACTTTCTTTCTCCTCCAGTCTTAACTAGTTGCCCTCAATGACACTGTTGTCATCCTGGGAACACCAGTCACCATCCTTGTCAGGATTTACCTGTCCTCTGCTTTGGATCTTCTTATAATCTTATAAACTGTTTCTTATAAACTGTTTCTTATAATCAGTAATTATATCCAGTATTGTGGTCTACTGCCTGATTTTAGAGAGGCACATCCTCTTTTAGCTTTCTGAGAAAGAGTGCATATGAGGCAAAACTTTATGCTTTGCAGGTCAGAAAATGTATTCTATCCTCACACTCGAATGATAGCTTGGTTGGGTATAAAATTCAAGGTTGGAAATAATTTCCATCTGAATTTTTAAGGCATTTCTTCATAGTCTCTTAGCTTTCAGTGTTATTATTGAGAATCCAAAAGGTATTCAGAGTCCTGACACTTGTTTGTGATCTGTTGTTTTTTCTCTTTGGAAGCTTGCAGGATATTTTCTATTCCCTTCCTCCAACTTCAAATTCCTATAGGTGCTCCATTACCTACAGGGTGAAGATCCTTCTCAAACCATCCTCAGTCTACCTTTTTAACCTTATTGCTAATAGCTCCCCTGAAAATAGTCAATGTTTGGGTTACACAAACCCCTCAGTGTATATTTACCCCTCCCTGCCTTTGTACATACTGTCTTCTGTACTGGACCTGCCAATCCATCAAAATTTTACCTGTCCTTCCGCAGGTCCAGATTAAATGTCACTTCTGTTAAACCTTCCCAATCTCAGCCCGCAATATTTTGCCCATTGTCTCACTAGTACATACCACATACTGCCATACGTCAGAGTAAACTGTGTACGTGTCTTCCTGTGCCACTCCTCCAGGGCAAGGGAAGTCTGTGTCTTATATTTCCAACACCTGTCCTATTGTCTGGAACATACTAGCACTAAAACATTTGTAGAATTCTACTTAATTCCATTTTATTTGCTTCAAATCTAGCCTGTTCCCCCTGTTATGCAGCTGGTTTTAATACTGTTGGCTACCATTTACTGAACACAAACAATGTGCCAGGCCTTGTGGTAAATGCTTTTCATGTGTAGTGGGTTTGAATCTTGGTACACAAAATCAAGAAAATAGTGCATTAAATGCAAGAAGTAGTATATTTCTTTAAATAGTCTTAAATTGGACTCAACTCTCCCACCCCCCATGAAGCTGGTGGTCAATTCAATCTCAGTCGTTATTGGGGCTTCCCTCTCTCATGGTTGTTCAAAGGCCCTGATACAGTCCCGAGGCATTGAAAAAGCCCCTTCTGTTTTCCTGAATCTGTCCAGACTGTTTACCAGGATGCCTGAGTCTTAATGTGTATGGTGCTTTCAGAGAGGCAGCTCTGCTGCTTCTGCACCAGGTTTGGGGCAGGGGACACTTTGGCGAGGAATGATCCTCAGTGCCTGGGAGAAGGACTCAGAAATGCACCACACAGCCACCTTCCCTTTCCCCCTGAGGCCTCCCCACCTGCTTTGGGTGCTGCAAGGGAACAGGGCTCTCTTAGCACCCACAGACCATTGTACCCTCCGCAGTTTGGGAGAATCTCCCCTCTCTGTCTTGCCTCACTGCCTCTCAAAGGCATTCTCCACTCTCTTTCCCTAGTTTAATGCCTGCAGCATCTGGCATAATGTCAAGCATGCTTCAAGCTTTGGGAAATTCAAAGGCAGAAGAGGAAGGGTCTTGGAAGTGACATCTGCCATTGCCCCGTATCACAAACTTAAATACAAGAAAGAAAAAAGAAAGCATTGTTCTGCCACTATGCATTATTTCATTTCCTCCTTACAGCCAACCTGCAAGGTAAGTTTAGTCATACCCATTTTACAGAGGAGGAAACTGGGGTTCAAATTATATAACTTGCCTAAGGCCAGACAGATAGAAGGTTCTGGGAAGGGCTATAGGATGCTAGAGCCCATATTCTTTCCACTGCACCATCACCACTCAGAAGAAAATGGAAGCCAATCT